TCTGAAAAGCGCACCGATCTCTGTTCACCGTGGAGTCACATTACCAAAAAGGCAAAAGAGCTTACAAGGGGGCTGCCTGGTTCAGGGCGAGCAGTAGAATTTGCGAAGGCCCCCAGGCGTCTGTTTTAACGAGAGCGCAAACCTTGTGCTTGGGCTGGCTCCTCACAACGATGAGCCGCACTCTGCAGAGAAATACTTAGTCAGCCTCAGCGTAAAGAAGCAAGAAAGAGAAAGCGCTGGAAAACGATAAGGGCCTTCCATCTTCATATTGCCAAGTAGTGAGAATCCATATCCCTCTTGGGGGATGCGCCAGACTCATTGAAACAGCAAGCCTATTATAAATCCACAAGTGGATGCCTGGGGTGATTCACAAAAACAGGGACCATATGAGAGGTGTCCCAAGCAAACCGAGAGGGAAGCAGCCATTTCTTTTTCGAGCGGAGGTTTGAATGGGCGCATAGTCTATTTTGTAGCCGCTCTCTTTAGACTATAGGTCGTTGAGGGCTCGGTGCTTCAAATTTTGCCTCTAGTTGTCCATACATTTGGGCCTGTCTCGTAGGGTCTTTTCATTTCGTGTGTTCAAGGGGGGGGACGGGGGGGGGAATTGTTTGAGAGGAAAAGACCAGAACCCCACTCAAAGTCAGACCCGTCAGACCTGGTTGCCACCTTCGGACGGACCGGTGTCCTGTTTTTTTTTTTGTTTGTTTTTTTTTAATCACGGGCCCCGGGCTATCGAAGGGCCGGAGCCGTCGGACCTGGCCGAATGCACCGGGTGGTGCGGGTTTTTGCTTGTTTCAGGGTACCTGTGTTGGTTCTTCTTTGTTGGCGGGGGAGGGGAGGGGCAATATTTGAGGCTACTTTGCTCGGCTTTTCTTTGGGGGGGTGGGGTTAAAGAGAATGGAAAGCAAAATCCACATCCTGATTGCTCCCCACTTTTGGGCAGCATGTTACATTGTGCATACAATTGGCTCTGTCCGTGGACGACTTTCTCCAACAACCATAGGGCGTGCCAAACACCAAAAATCGCTTGCACTTGGGCATACACAAGTACCCAGTACCCGTCCTATCCACCCTCTCACCACCTGGACCCCTTTTTCACGCGCCAGACTGCCTGGGAGGCCGTCGCCGGCCCCGAGGACCTCAAGGGCGGGCTGAAACCCAAGGCGCCAGCGAGGCCAAACACCGAATCTGAGCGCACGTCTTCGACATTTCCAGGAGAATTTTGAGGCCCCCCAGGCTTCCTATGTCCCCTGTTGAAATTTTAAAATAGCGCCTGGGCAAAGGGAACCTCAATTGGCAATGAAAAGGTGATGTTCAAACCACCGTTCAAGGGTACAAAATGTGCCCCTTTTGGCGACTCGCTCTATTTTCGGGGTCCCGAGTTATCCTAAAGGAGACCGGAGGAAAACCGGGCCATGTTGGGGATTCCATATGTGAGACAACCCCCACATACCCAAACTGGTGTAAACCCTTGAAAGGATGCCTGTTCCCTCGGCCCGTCACAGTGGCGATGAGGTCCTGGAGGTGCTCCTGCACTGACAGACTGACGGCCACTTGAGATGCCACTCTTTGGTCATTCTGAGACGTTGAGTTTCAAACACTTGACCAAAGCCCATGGCTCAAGTCCACCCCAACTCAAAAGATGCAATGACTCGGTTGCTTTCTGCCCTGCTAAAAGTTTAACGGGTGGTGTAATACGGAAAACCCACGAGTTGGCAAAAAAAGAGTTAAAGTCCTAGCATCCCTTGGCAAAATGCACCAAAGTATAGCTGTCGCACACCAGCACTGGAGCACCTCCCCTCCCATGGCCTCTGCGCCGGCTGAGGCGGCCGGCCCCTTCCAAGCGGTGAGACCTCGTGCCGCGGCTTTGGGGGACCAAGCCCCGAAACTCGGCCATGTGGCGCGGGCAAACTCCGGTGTCTAACTCTCGGCTTAGGCATAGCCATCTATGTTTCCGAGAACCAACCCAGAGTCTGGGTCATGGGACTGGGCCTGAGTCTGGCACTTGAGCACTCTGGCGGATTGTTTAGGTTCCCCGAAAGTGCTCCAGAGGGCCCCAAAACCGAGAAGGAAAAACGCAACCTCCAATTCCTGGGTGAAAGTTGTCAGGAGGATCCCAGAGGGACAGTCACCAGGCTCGAAGCTGGTCCCATCGTCACAGACCCCGCGCATGGTTTCCCAAAAAAACATGCTCCTCCTTTTTGCTGGTGCAAATGGAGCCGCTTCTGGATATCACATGCCATCCCAAAGGCAAAAGAAGAAGTAAAGGCACCTCCTCCCTGTAATTTCACAACATCTTTCGCAACGGGTTTCTGTTTTGGGATTCGAAGGGAAGCCAAAAGGAAACTGCAAGGCCATATGGAAGGAATTACTTCTGGCTTTGTGCCCATGTCTCAACCTGTCAAACACAAAAGCCTCCGCCAAATTGTCCAAAGTGCCCGTGTTCAATCCAATCAAACACAACTGCTGCCAATAGTTTCAACCAGGTGCTGGATTGGCGTGTGACCCCCTGCAAAAGCTAAGCTTGTTGCTTGTTTGCTGGGGGCGTTGCTCACTTTCCGAAAAAGTAAAAGCGTCGGGCTCCCTGCGTAGGTTCTCATCGCCATGGGAGAAATCTGCGAAGCCGGCCAATGCGCCGAGGGCGGAGGCATCCACAGGACACCGATTGAAATTTGGCTGCAGAAAAATGATGCTTCGCCTGACTCAAATGGGAAATACTGTGGATGCACAAAATCCGTTCCATCCCATGGGTCATCCATCCCAACATCCCAACTGGTACAGGATCGTCCATTTAGAGTATCGGAACCCCCAACCCAACCAATCTCCGAGAGGGCGTCCGGGTCTTTTTCTGCCCCCTACACATCCCCAAAACCCTCGAACACCTCCACAAGCCAAGGTCAAATGCATTCACAACCAAGAATGGCCAGCAACCACTGCTGTACCAGCCTTCACCATGACTTGTTCACCAAGGGAGGTTCCCTGGTATCGCAGAAGAGGGAAAAAACTGCTCATTCTCACACCTCTGGAGCAAAAAGTGGAAGCCTCTCAGCCCTTTCCAGATTTTCCCGCCTGAGCGTAGCCGGGGTCCCATTCAAGGACCGATTACGGAAGCCGTGGCTTGGCTCCTATGCTGAAGTTCGGCTGAAGTTTGGCTGAAGTCGCCCTGATCCCTCCAGGCGCATTTGTGTTTCGACTGGTATGCGTTCTTCGCGCGGGGGGCGGAGTCGTCGCTTGAGCCCGCCCTCAAGGCTGCGCGCGACAGAAACAAGCATCTGCTCAAGAGCAGGACTCGCCTGGTCCACACGGCACTTGCCACTTGCAAGCAACGCACTGACAAGTGCAGCTTTTGTGGGGGGGGGGGGGGGGAGCTTTTTGCTTGGCACAATCATCGCGGGCGGCAAAGCGGCACGAATGTGCAGCAGCAAACTGAGTCTGCACCATGCAATCGCGTGAGTGCCTAGTTTTGCTGCCAGGGCTTACAGCTCGAACTGCATCCAAAGCAACACCTTGGGTAAATACACTTGCATGGCCTGCCTTCGGGTAAACAGCAACCGCACTGCTTTCATGAGTAGGAGTGATTGCAAGCACCTAGAACGTCAAGACAAGCCTCTGAGCATGCTTGATCACAATCTTGACCGAGAGCTGTTCGCACAGCTATCTGCAAAATGATCCTTGGTGAAAACAAGACCCAAAGCAGCCCGAGGCTGCGATCCATTCGGTCGGAGCAGCTGGCAGCTCCTATCGGGTCGAATGTTCACGAACCCTCTGGGAAGCGCTACGAGCTTAAAATGCTTGAGTTCCTTTTGGTGTCCCTTTCAATAGCCATCCGGAAAGACTCCCACACATCCTCAGATCTGCCAAAGGGACACTCCGTGAGCTGTTGTTTCCGAGCGTAAACGCTGCGGCGCCCACGCTTGGCCTGGAATCGAACTGGTGAGACATAACCAATGGAACCTACGGGAGAGCCAGCTTCCTTTTTGAAAAAGCCAGGCATATCCGCCGCTCGGCTCGCGCGGATGTGCCGCTCGGCTATCCCGTGGATCTCACGCGTCTCTTCAGCCTCTGGCCAGCTTTTGCGGCAAAGGAAAACAGTCGCGCGAAGACTCAGGGAAGGGCAAACAGGAGGACTTGTGGCCCGCATTGGAGGAACCAGAGATGAAGCTAAGATGTGATCCTGTGCACAGGTTGCTTCTATCATGCTGCCGTCGCTGCTTAACTTGGTGACAGGCCGTCACTGGTGTCCTTATGTCGGGTTCGTCCTCAACCGCGTACCAGCAAAGAACCATGCGTCTAGAATGCTTGACCGGAAAACATAAGGACCCCGACCAAGCCAGGTGAAACTTGGCTGAAGACAATGCTTTCAGCCAGGTGCAGTGGTCACATGCATCAGGGGGGCCATCCAGCTGAAGTTTCGGAGCCGAGAAAAATTTCAAGTGGGGCGATGACTTCTACAACGGGGCACCGGCCCCTTTTCTGGCGAGTTCAAAGGGACAAAAGGAAACAAACCATTTTCGTGGTACTGATTTGGAAGGTGACTATCAGCGTCAATATGACACACAGGACTTGAACCTCAGGAACAGAGGCTTTCAATCGATCCAACACACACACATACAACCCGCATCAACACGACACACACCGCAAGCCCTGTTTTGAGAAACATCCAACAAGGACGTTGGACTTGTTAAACGAACAGTCACCCACTCCGGTTACCAAAAAAATAGTTGTGTGGGCAATAGGCACTCACGCAGAAGGCACGAAGCCCGAGCCAAAACAAACCTTCCGGGTTTTGCATGCACCCTCATATTCGCTTCGCATCTGACCTTTCTGAACTGACCATGCCGGGTTGTGCATTGTCAACCCTTTCGTTTGATGAACTGCGCTGCTGAAATGGTGTGGAGGCTGCTTGCTCTTCGGGTGTCCTTATGCAATTGAAAACCTGGAAGGGTGTTGGCTTCCAAGATCCTGTCCTTTCGCTTTTTGGAAACCTTTCTTCGGTTGGATTCCAAGAGACCATTCCTGGAGGCCCCCTGGGAACCACATTCAGACCTCTGCACAGACACCGAGGATCACTCCTGCGTGGCGGATTGAGTGGGGTGAAGCAGATGTGTGTGTGCCATGGTCAAGCCTCAGTTAGTGCCGTTCCTCTCTCTTCCCTGAGGTATCGTTATGATTGTAAGCATCATGCGAACTTCGAAGGGCCATACAAGGCTAGGCTAGGTGTTTGCTGAGCCCCCACCCCCACCCCCACTAGTCCCTCTCCGAACCATAGGCCACTATATATTTTAACCGAACCTCAATGTGGCAGTTGCCTCTTCGCATGGAACCTGACAGGAGGCCCCTTTGGTAGAGAATGGTCTACCAGGCCCGTTCCTTCCCGTTCCAGATTTCCAAAAGGACGGGTGACATACAAATGGGGGCTCATCCTGAAATCACTTTGGGCTTTCCAGCATAGAACTTGGGTTACCGAAACGGCAAGTGAGGCACCGGGTCCTCCACCGGCGAACCGTTGCGCCAACGGCTCTTGGTCGCATTTCCTCGGCTGTGTTCCAGTCAGATCTGGGTGAATGGTGACGCCCAAAACCTGAATGAAGCGCAAACCGCAAGAAAGGAACCTCACGAGGTGCCAAACCAAATCGCCCTTTGTGCAGCAAAAAAAATGGTGTCTAGAAGAAGGGGGAGGGGGAGGGCTCATGCAAAGCATGGATTGAGGCAACGGCCGAGGCTGTCCACCATGACGCCTTCGCCATCCTGGAAGAATCCCACGGATGGGCTTGATGGGGAGTTGGTGAGTCCCTCAAAGGGGTGACTCACTTTCTTTGTAGGAGACCCCCAAAATGGCGGTTTTACCGTTGGTTGTTCTTTAAACCAACTTGACAAGGGAATCCTAACAAAAAGAACTATATACCCATTGCGCATCGAGCAGCGTATCGCGGCCCGTCCTGTTTGCCATTGGCCCACTGCCCCTTGTACTTGCGACCTCAGTAGCACGAGCAAGGACAACGGCGTTTTGGATAGTGAGGGCCCACATCATCCGTCCTGTTGGTAGAATCAAAAGACAATGGCGTTGAGTATTGCTCGAATGAAAATGTGTCAACACAGCAAAACCCTTTTGAGCGCTTTGTCAAATGCCTGAAGTTTCGAAGTGTAAAGCTGTCGGCGTACTCGCGCTGAGAGCCCGTGCCATCCGGCCAGGTGAGGGTGCCCTGCCCATGGCGAAAGTCGTTCTTGTACTCGCCCTCGTACCTGGAGCCTCAAGCAAAACAGCATTCCAGCGTCTGCGCTGTCCGGCTTCTTCGGTTGCACGGGATGATTCGGCCGTGCAGCTTTGAGTTGGGGTCATCCCTTCAGGGAGGTTTCTTACACCTCTGGTCAAGACTCTTTACATTGCCCATGCTTCATGCTTGTCCTTGGTTGCTTCCTTTTCAAACAAAAGTGTACCGCGGCCGCCCTTCGCGGCTTTTTGGGCTCCCGGCCATCAGGCCACGTCATGGAACCCATGCCGGACATGTGCCCCTTCTGCCAGGAGCCTGTGTAGCTGCGCCTCGCGGACTTCGCGCGAATGGAAAGCAAAATCACCGGAAGTGGGACGAACTGAGAAAGGGCAACCACACTGAAACAACATGAAGACCGCGAAAAAGGGGAGAACTTGCGCGAAAGGTCACAGGGAAGAAAACCCATTTTGCTTTTGAAAAACACCTAAGAGTTCTACTTGCTGCAACCACGCAGGCCACACAGGCTCCAAAAAGTCAATCCGGCTATGTTCGGGGCCTCAAGCGTGCTGCTGGTGGATGCAACGGCAAAGAAACTCAGCCAACCAAAATGGAGCCAAGGCAGGTTGACGCCTCATCAAGGGCAGCCTTAGTTCCAAAACCATTCTGTTTCATGGGCACTCTGATTCTGCGGACCAGGCAAGCTCTTGCACACCTGCAGCCTCAAGATCCATGGGCTGATTGCAGCTGGTCTGACCAGCTGAACGTGTGAGCCAAAGGTTGCCAAAGACACTCTAAGCCCACAATCTTCCTCATCTTGGGTCTTGTCAGCATATCTTCAGCGGCTGCACGCCTGCTGTCTAGAGGCGCAATTACGTGCTCCCTGGCGCCTGGAACTTTTTCAAAGAAACAGCCAAGCCGCTACATCTTTGAGCACCGACGACATGCTGCAGCCAAGCGGCCCAACGAGCATAACAACAGCGACGTAACTTGTCGTCAAATTTACTTCCAGCGCTTACCAACCTGGTTTTGGAAAATGTCACATCAGCAGCCTGAACCAATCTGAATAGCTCACTGCCTGCTCTGGCTTCGGCCCACTTCGGACTGTCAGGCTTCAGATTGTCGCAGCTGTAAGTCACTGGCTCTGTCACAGCTGCGTGTCGCATCTGTCTGCCGGGCTCTGTCACATCTGTCTGGTCCTTGCAAATTTATGGAGTCTCACGTTTTCGCCAAACGGGGCTTGATTCGGGATGAGCAAGTTGAGCTTGCGCTCTTGGTCGGTTAGGTCCATTTGGCTTGGGAGACGCCCATGACGGGGATGAGGACTCTCCGAGTTGGAACCCGCTTTGGGGAACATGGCGACCAATTCCATTCGTGCTCATTTTTGCCCCACCCAGACATCCGAGCGTCACAACCCGGATCACGAAAGAACAAGCAGAATCGGAAATCCGAGCATGCTCTCGTGTCTAGCATCCCAATTGAAGCTTCTTGCAAGTGTGTCGACCTACGCATCAAGCCACCGATGAAAGAACACCAAACCCCGGGCGCGCCCATCGGAGAAGTGGTAGGTGCCCTCGCCGTCCATGCGGTCGCCGTTGAATTGGCCCTGAAGAGCGCAGCAGGAAGCACTCAGGGCTTGTGTTGCGGATCACGGGTTTGCATGTTGAAACAAGCTTGTGTCAAGGTCCGTGTCCCCGTCCCAATCCATCCGCAGAAAGGTGGATTCGAACCCAACTAACTACAAAGCAAGAGAGCCAACCACATCCAAAACAAAACAAAACCTGGCAAACTGCCGAAGCTTAACAACTTGCAATGCTTTGGGCATCCACCGTAGCCCCAGAACGTGCGCGTTCTCCTTTGCGCGCCTGTGCTTGAAACGAGGCTCTGTCCAGGCTGGTGACACCCTACATCTCTACAAGCGAACATCGATCCAGACTGCAGAGACCCTCAGAAACATGGTTAGCTGGTCCTTCCTTCAGCCACTGTGGCAAGGGGTCGATAGGCAAAGGGTACCTGCGCTTTGGGCAGAACTCTGCTGGATCCTCACAGAAGCCAACAAACAAGCAGCGGGCAAGGACCACACTGCGGCCCAATATCGATCCCGAACATCTCTTCGAACCCCACCTTTGCAACGCTACAATTTCATGAGCAACCCATGACCTTCGACATAACTTGTCTATGTCACTGTTTCTTTGTCAGTGGAACCCCTTTCTGGGGTTGTTCCATATGGTTTACCCCAGGAAATACTTGGTTGACGTTGGAAGTGGAGCAAAAATATAAATTGTAGCAGATAAGTGGGGATTTCCCACTAAACCACAATAAGCAAAAATGTAAAGTGTTTCCCAACAACAACCATGGAAAAGTCAACGGAAAAGCCAATCCCGTTTGGGCTGGACGGGAAAAAATGCCATTTGGCTTTGCTGTTGGCTTCCCTTCTAACCCAAGGTGAATAGGTACCCTCAAACAAAGACTACACACACACACACGCAGGCGCACACACACACACACACACACACACACACACGCCCGTTACGAGACAAGATGAAGAGGTGCACTAGCGTGTCCGCTGACCTATGAAGGCTTCCGTGGAAATTCCTTGAAGGCGACGGTGAGACCATGCAAGCCTCACTCCTCATGATGCGGCCGGTCATACCCGACCCCGCAAACATCTTGGTGCAAACAAAAAGCCACACAACAAGAAGTATCCCAGAAACAATGGCTCTTTGGCAACGCGCTTCAATCGCAACCGAGAGGAGTGACTGTACAATGGCGGAGAATGTATGGGCATGGCAAAAGAGAAGCGGCGCACTAGCAGGCGCGGCAGTCTTGGTTTGCATGCCATGTTTGGGTGTGGTTCAGTTCGAATGGGGTTATCTTTGTATCAGAAAGTGGCCCGAAAACCCACAACCATGTCTGGAATGTATCATGAGCTATCCTGCCTTTTTTTGATCCAAAAAAGTTGGGGCCCTTGTCTGCCATCTGGGTTGGCCTCAACAACGGAAGCCCTCCCATGGTTCGAAATCAAAAAGCCCCCTGGGACGAGAATTCGCAGCACCCATCCGCTGCTTTCCTCTTTCGCCACTGCCAGGGTGCCGATAAACGCACAGCAAGAGGCAAGTGGGCGGCCAAAGTCCCACCCGAAACCGCCAACTCACCGACTTCGGCGGCAAATGGGTGTGTCTTTTGTTCGGGGACCCTAAAAATGGAAAATGGTCCTTGTGGTTTCCCTTTACAACCACAAAAAAAAGGTACCCTCAAAAAAAAGACACACCCAAATGCCAAATGTGCTCTAGAGTGGTTTTCCAGTTCGGGTTTCCCATGAGCGGCATTATCCAGCGGGGCTTTGGGATGCAGGATTTCGCCGGACCGAATTCAGCTTAGCCCGAGCGCGGTCACGGGCTCAAGCACAAGGCAAAGTGCTGTCAGACAAATGCCGCTTAGTCTGACTCAGAAAGCTTGACTGGCCAACGCCATCATGACTTCCATTGACGCGTCTCCCTCCAACAAACGCGGATGCTCAAACACCATCCTATTTTGGAAAGGGGCCCAATGCTTCCATGTTGGAGGGAGGGCACCTGCTTTCTTTGTTTGCTTGGCGTGGAATCTCTTTAAGCGCACCCGATGACTCAGTAACTGCTACCAAACTCGATGTGGATTTGTCTCATGGATGTTGATGCACCTACGTGTAGTTTGAGTTGTTAGCTCCGCTTGGGCTTCCCGTTGCCTTAATTTCTAGTTCCGTGGAGGCCTCGAATGGGTCTTCTTTGGATATGGAACCTCCAAATCATGAGTGATTCCTGCTTGATTCTTTCCCCCGTTAGAACAAGACACACTCATTTGGGCCAAAGAAGCCTATTTGAAACAGAAACAAGAACCACAAGGAAACCAACCACCTGGAGGGGTCCCCATCTGGAGGTTGGGTTCATCAGCACAACCCTGGCGAGACTTGCCGTCTCTGTCAACCAAAACAACAAATAAGACTTATCATTGAATACAACAGACTTATAAATGGGGGTCAACATTACAATGGAAGAGATACTTGAGGTACAGTCGTCAGCCAAAAGATGACGCAATACAGAATACGCGATCTCGGGTCCTTTTGATGCCGTGTTTGAAACCACAAGGGAAACATTCCCTCTGGAGGTGGACTTAAACCCGGGACACGGGCAGTGCAGTGGCGTTTGCCTTTGTAGGGCAACCGGTCCAAGGATCAAGACTCGCCCGGCTGGCAAGCCTTGCCCGGCTCGGCAGGTAAGCCGGTGAGGCGGCCAGGGAAGTGCCAAGGGAATCACCTCCTCACATTCACGGCACTGTGGCATATGGGTGTGTCTTTTTTTTCGGGCCCCCCAAAAGGCCAAAAGGGGGGCCCCGAAACAAGACAACCCCATACAGGTCTCTCAAAAGTGGACCAGAGCGATGCCCGTCCAAAGGGCCCTCGGGCCCTGGGCCGATGGCTCCACGTCCTTCTGGTGCGCCGGGAAACCGGTTTGGCCACCGAAAAAATCCCCAAGCCAAGGGATCTAAAAATCCAAATGCGTTGAAACCGCGAAATCAAATGCTTTCCCTCTTCCTGTTGGTATCCTTTGGCTCCTTTCCACAGGCGCACAGCTGGATGCAAAAAGAGAAGAGATTCACGGAGGTCACTCCGAGGCCAGAGACAGCAGCTCCTTCAGCGAGGTGGGCTTCGGGGTCTTGGTGTCCTGCCAAATTGGTGGCCGCTCAGCCCGTGTATCAGTATCACCCAGTCGAATCGAAACGGGGTCTCCGCACTTCCAGGTTTGGGAAGGTAGAAAGGATCACAAATGGCTGTGGGTCAAAACCTCGTACCCCCAGTGAACATCCCAATCACCACTAAAATCGGTTCTACAATGGGTGGTGCACCTATCCCAACATGGTACCATTGGTTTTGAACCATGGCCAAATGACGGCAATCAAACTGGAAACGCTGGATTGCCGCCTGAAATGTCTGCCACAGGTTCTGCATCGCGGGGTCGCAGTAAAAGGTATATACATGTCTTTGCAGGTGAATATGCAAGGGATTTGGAGTTCTTCTCAAGACAAGCCTGTTGCTGATAACATTCGGACAATCTTTGTTCGAGGGTCACTGTGCATATTTGTTGAAATGGTCCGCGACGGTAGCAGCACGTTTGCCGTTCAAACAAGATGGCATACATGACACAGACTGCACCTCGCCTGGTTCAGGACATTTGGGAGAAGTCGAACAATTGCCATTGCCCACACTGAAAGGAACCCTCAGAGAAGGAGCCGGTCGCAAACCCAAACCATGTGTGGGACCCCTCGCTTCCATTCGCCCATTCCGTCCCAAAATGCAAACCGCCCCCCCTGCCTTGGCGAAGGACACGCGCCGACCGCCCTTAGGGCTCGGCGTGGGTGCCTGAGGCTTTCCAGAGCTCAAGTTTGCGACGTCAGCGTGCAGAGACGCAATCGATGATTTGGGTTTCTGCCTCTGTTGTGACCCCGCTAGAGTCCGGAAGGACAAACGTGGAATACCTACGTTTGAGCTTTCATCACAGGCCATCCTATAAAGGAACATTGACCAACAAACAAGCGGTGTGTGAGGGTCCTGGATTCCAGAATCGGTCAGCGGGTCGGTTGACGAAATATATTGTCAGGCGCTGCCATCAGCAAAATGAAGAACATTCATTTACCGGCATCAGGGACGTGCATTGAGGTGGAGGCTTGCTCTAGGGTGGTGATAGATTGGTTTTGTTCGCTCAAAGGGGTGGCAGAGGGACTCGATCTCGCAATGCTCCCCCCGGCCTCCCCGCTACTCCGGAAGAAAAATACAACTGTCTGCGCCTTTGGGGAGGGGGCCTCCGCTTCGTCGACGTTCTTGATTGACGTCTCCGCTTCATCCTGAGCGCTCAAAAACTCACATTCACCGCTCGTTGGCTCAGCCAAGCGGCCTGCCGCTGCGTGCCCTGAAAAGCCAAGGAAACCAAAACAAGCTGATTTGTTGCAATTGGCTTTTGGTGTACCCACAGCCATGGACGGAGGTTGTCAGATGCACACAAAGAGGCTATCGGATTTGCGCCAAGAGCCGGGGGTGGGAAAACGGCCAATGAATGCCTGCCCTGGCAACAGGCCCACAAGCCCACGAGCCACGCCAGGGGTCATGTAGAAATGGGATGGGAAACCTCCAAAACGGGCTCTGCTCATGGGTTTGTGGTTTACTCGCCATGTCCTTCTCATTTGCTCGCTAAAGCAAGTCAAGGAGTCCGGCACGCATTGCACACTGAGGTATGGTACGCTGAAGACTCTTGCCATGTCGATTTGAGATGACGAGTTTCGCCCCCGAAGGAACGGGATGCCTTCTCCAGCCCCACCCCGAGGGTCAGAACGCAAAGAAGTTGCGGCAACTTCTCCTTGTAAGTACACAAGGAAAGGCCGAATCGAGCCCATAGGCAGGCGCCCCACAAGCGATGAGCAAAAGAAAGCCCGTTGGCCTGTCAGGGGTTCAACATGCCGACTCACATGGCCATGGGTCAAAATCCATTTCGTACCCCCAGTGAACGTCCCAGTCCCCCTCTAAAATCGGCTCTAAAATGGGTGGTGCACCGAAAACCCCAAAATGGGATCCCATTG